TTATAACTTTGATAAGGGGTTTTCGTCTTACTTTTTTTTAAAATATCGAGAACTATTGTGTTATTTTCACACCTCAATTGAATTATGCAAAGGGTAAATTTTGGTTTTATTACACGGATATTCTCTCATATTTCAAAAATTACACTGAGGCCCCAAATATCGTCAAATAATGGATGTCGTTAACAAAAGTGAAAAAATGACAATAATATCCTTCGTTCTAAGTTGAAAAAAAAGGATAAATTACACTCACACACCCTTACATTTGATTTTATTACACGGATATTGAAAAAAAAAACTCAAAGCCAATTAAATTATAAATCAGACCCTAATTAAATAAATTTAACAACCTAAATCAAATTAAACTTAATACTTAAACAAATTTAACACCTAATTCAAATTAAACCTTATGATTTTGTTATTGAATTCAATCTTATCTTTTCGATATTAAGTTAATTTTTTGGTTTTGGTCAATACATTTAATTATTTTGAATTAACAACAATATTTATCAAATTTCAATGATTATACCAAATTTACCTTGTTAAAACTATGCATTAACACCACCACTTCCCACAAACGTCTGTCACCCACAACCACCGACCACTGTTATCTAACTGCAACTCCCACCACACCACTTTAACCATTCCAACTGTTACCTCACCGTAACCACCGCCACTCCCACCATCACAATGCCAAATTGAAAAATCAAACTCACCTCCTCCAAGGCACAGTCAGCACACCGCAAAAACAAACAACCTACCTCAGCTACCCACCACTTCCAACCATCGACATCGCACTAGATAGGGTCAATGACTTTGTACCCAACATTTGTCATTGGGAGATCAATGGTTTGAAACTTGTAAGTTCTTCTCAATCTACAGCCATGGAAACTTTGCATCTTCCCTTTTCCTCCACCGAATTTACTTGCAGAAGTCAAAGAAAAATACCAAACCCTTTTATCTTCCTTACATCCGAACCCTTCTCTACTCGTAGTTGTACTCATTTGCGATACATCATCTACCACTCCAAGTTCACCGATTCTCACCACAACCACAATGATCATCACCACCATGACCATGACAATCACCACCACTACCACCACTACCATCACATTCATGAGGATAATGGTAAGCTGACTAGAACGCATGAAACATTAATTTTTTTTCAATTTATTTATCTTGACTTAGTCAAATAGAGGAGTGAGTTGGATAGATTGTATATGAGCATTGATAAATCTCAAGGATATATGAGGGTTAAAATTTTTTTTTTAATGAAATTGTTAACGTCTGTTAGACAAAAGGAGTGCGATTGTCAAACGAGTTCAAATGTCAAGGAGTTTTTGTATGATTTTTGAAATGTGAGGGAGTATCTGTCTAATAAAATTAAATATCAGAGAGTGTGAATGTAATTTACCCTTATTCAAATCATATGGTGTCTTCTGTGTAGATAATATTTAAAATTTAAGTGTGATCTGTCCGTCTTCCTCGAAACAATGGTCCAAACTAGGTAATGATGATTAACAACTCTTCAATCACTTAAATTTACTAAGATTTGACTATGAAAAATAATAATAAGAAATGAAAGGAATAATTGCAAAAAACAAAAATAAATAGTTTAACCACTTCCTTTACAATATTTGGTGGGGTTGGGTTAGGCTTAGTACATGCAACCCCTAGGCGACGCACGAAAACCCCCAACAAATAAGTTATTGTAACGAGTCTTATTTTTCAAAAAATTAATTTAATATCATGTAAATCATTGAAACAAGTTCAAAATCTCGTGTTAAAGTCTTTGACGGACTTGTTATGCCTTTTTTTTTTTGCCCACATTTTCGCACAACGAAAAAAGAAGAAGATGAAATTATAGTTGAGCAGGTTATTATGATAAATTATAATATTTTAAGATTAATTATAAAATTATCTTTAAAAACTATAATTCAACAACAAAAAAAAAAAAAAGTTTCTCTATAGTTTCCCATCCAAATACAGGGAATGTAGCCCACAGAAAAGGAAGTAGCTCAATTATTGGAGTTAAATCAGAGGAATGTGAGGCCGACTCTGCACAATGGAATCTAGTTTGTGTTTGATTTGAAACAACCATTTAAGTACCACCATATTGTCCTGGTGTGGTACTTGCAAGTGGTATTAAAATAATATAAATAAAAACAAAATTATTTGACCATAAACAATTAATTCTCAAGATCTAGTAGTTAGCTGGCAATCATGTAATAATGTTAAAATTCACAACATCAAAGGTAGTTCAACTAATAATAAAAATAAATTATAAATTCAGATATTTTAAATTCGTATTTTAGTAATCTCTTAAAGTCAGGGTATGAAAGATTTATCTCTTACGAATAATTTAGTTCCGACGTGAATAAGTCCCGACGTGAATGACATATTTTTGATCAAATCAAAGAGGAGATTAGTCGAGGTGCACGTAAATTAATTTAAACACTTCTAATGAGCTCAAATCTAACTGGGTTAGATCCAATAGATCAAGTAAATTCAAATCAACTAAAAGGCATGTCAAACCCAGTTTGTGAAGTCGACTTAGTCCAAGCTCCAAGGAGTCCAAGAATATTAGAGCACGTGGGGAATTATCATCGAGATATCCACTCTCGAAAATTAAGACAATCTTTAATTATATTTATCTTTGGTAACTATCCTCTCCGAAGGACTAGTGTTCTTTTTACATGAGAGGGGCACCTCTCTATACATCTCTCACATAACTTTTTTCTCTCTCCTAACTACCATATCTCTTCCGAAGCTAACATTTGCTCTCTCTCTTTCTCACCTTACTTTATTAATAAAGTTTTTTTGGCCACCGTTGCCATTTTTCGGAGTGGATTAAGTCACCCTAATCGAATAACTAAATATTTACTTTTTTGTCATTGATTACTTTATTATTTGTGTTCATTAATTCCATTATATCATTCACTTAACTGTTGATCTTGCATAAATCTATTTTATGCATCATCAACTTCTGATCATTAAACTAAAAAAAATTCCCTATTTTAATAGGGGAAGCAATTGAGTAAAAAATGAAGCATATGAGTTGGACAATGTTTGGACTATTTGATGCAATAACAATTCCATTAAGACTAAAATATTGTCAATGAAATGTATCAAACAACCGACAATGAAAGTGATTTTTGTAATATCTATTCTAGGCAAATGTGTATTTGCTTAACACGTTAAGTTTGATCGAGTGAAAGTATCTCATTAACTGGTATCTTAGAATTTTAAGTTCACATCTTGCAAGAAAACGTTTTTACTTGACTCTACATTTTATAAGTTTTGGCTGATTTACTTGTATATATATCTTAATTTTGTATGTCAATCACGAATTTAAAAGACACGTAATTAGAATAATTTTCAATTAATATAGAAGTTTTGTGCATTTGGTTCAATGCTTTATAAAAAGATATAGAGTGATTACTTGCACCCCCTTGTGATGTACACAACCAATAAGGAGTTCTAAGAAAAGTTGTCATTCATTATTTTGTTAAAGCTTGTGTGTGTAATTTTAAGGGATAATTCATGCGGTAACACAGACGAATTGTAAATTCAGATATTTCGAGTTTAAACACTGTGATGAATTGTATTCCTCATGAATACCTTAGTCTTAGAGTAAATGGTCTGCCTTTTACTGAATTGGAGAGAAGACTAGTGTTATGTATGTAAATTGGTCTAAACATTCTTGACAAGAAAAAAAAAAATTTGTGTGTTTAACATGATAATTTTTTAGTGACCATGTACATAGGACTGGTACACGAGCCAAACTTGAACATTTTTTTTAATTCGTTTTTGTGTAAATAGTTCAACGACTCAGTTCATTTAAGCTCGAATTAAGTTCGACTACCACCCCTACATGTATACTACCTGACACTCTCAATGACAGTGTTAAACTTATACAAAATTTTCTTATGTATTTCTGTTGTCTTCTTCAATGGGATAATTAGAGCTCTTAAAATGTAATTAGACAACCTCACTCGGAAGGGGAAAATATAATAATATTGGAAAAATTAGTGGCACCTTTTAAGAAAGAACAATGATATTGAGATCTAATTTATTGACTAATTTATCAACTTAATTCATTGTAATCATTAGATTGCTTTCAGTACAATCATCTTGTTACGACTTCACTTGTACCCGGGAGTGCTATTTTCAACATCCCCTTGTAGTTTTATTAAGTCAAAATTTTAAATCTTAATAGTTTTACTATTTAAGAAACGGTTTTGTCTCTGTCTGTACTGGATAAAGATGATGAATCCGAGTCATTGCCATCCATCACTGCATTACAATCGAAATTGAAGTCCTTATATGATAATATGTAAAACTTTTGGCCTTATCATACTAAAATCAAAGAATATACATTTGGCACTTAACGTACGTCCATTAGCAAAAAGCAGAGCTCATATCACTTATCTAATTGGTCCATCCGATAAGCCCTCCTCACTTTATAATCCCATCGCCATATATATATATATATATATATAACTCCATAATTTCATAAAATATTGACTTTAACGATAATATCACGTTAAATTATTTCGATTAAATTACAATTACCTCTACTATATAAGATATTCGCTTCATTCTCTCGATATATTGTTTACAGAAGCTTATTTCATTGTTTTGAATTAACGAAACGATTAATAACAGCGAGGGATTATTATCATCAGGACTCAAATAAAGTAAAAAAAATAATGGAAAATCCTTTAATTATGGTTTTGTCACGCGTAACCCTCCCTTGTAAAAAGCCCCCCCCCCCCCTCCCCCCCCCTCTCTCTATCTAATTTCTCCACAAATTTCCCTCTATCCGTTTGTATCTATAAATATATACACAAATACTCAATACATATATTGAGAGAGACAGAGAGACGGAGGTGAGGTGTGGAGGAGAGAGAGAGGTGGTGGTGTAAAGAGGATTGCTGTATGTCAGCAGATTGTACACACTACTGCTACGGTGGAATTGGTGAGATTGTTAACCCGTTGCAATGGCCACAACTGAGGAAAAAACGACGTCTTCGTGTTGCATTTCAGGCGATTCTGTTCCGGTTCGCCGTCAGGCCTCTCCCGCCGTGTCGGCGGCGGAGGTGGTGCAGGATTGGACCGGTTCAGCCATTGATCGTCGCGAGGATCAGCAAAACAAGAAAGCTGCCATGGCGTCCTTGACTCGCCCTGAGCCTTCAACCAATTCTACCCCCAAAGGTACTCTTTGTCTCTCGATATATTAGACTATGATGTGTATACAGATGTATTCAAGATTTGTTCTTGTTTTTTTGGATGATCCGAATGTTAGATCTAGAATCTTTGTAGCTGTTTGCTTGAAATGCTTTTAGCTCATTTTATTTTTATTATTTCCGTAATGTATGATCCGTATTCACGCATTTCTTTATAAGTTTTGTCGGTGATACATGAATGATATATGTATATGCAATTCAAGAAAACATGTGGACTATTAAAAGAGTGAAAATTACAAATAGTCAAAGTTTAGTTGGAGCCTTATATGGCTAGTTTCTATAATCTAATTATAATGTACAAGTTGGGGTTTTTGCATGAATTTTTACTGCAGGAATTCACTAGAAATTAGGAGTATAAGTCTCTTAGGAGTTAAAATTGTAGAAGTGGTTAATAGAAATGTGAGTCTGGAGCGGCATAAGCATCAGCATATTACCTTTCAATTCCCATAAAAATAGGTTTTGCTACTGGTAATCCAATAATTTTAATAAGAGTTGATCCTTTAATATTTCATATGCTATAAATTTAAAACCTCTAGTGGTTAATGATTTTCTGAGGGTCCAATTTGTTGGAACCACATGTGAGAATGTGAATAAGCCATCTCACATTGACTATGCAAAGAAACATAACAGGCTTAAGATATATAAGATAGGAACAATCTAATCTGAGCTTGAGTTTAAGCTTTTGTGTTTGGTTTGTGTCCGAGTTAAGATTCTAACAATGGTATCAGAGCATGAAAAGATCTTAAGGACCTGTTTGTCCAACAAAAAAATAGCTTAACAAGTTCTATACCAAAGAAAGAAAAAAGAGTGAATAAAAGGGGTAGGAGCAAGTGCTACTACAAAATATATAAACACAACAGGCTTAATACAAAAATATAGGAACAAAACTACTCTAAATTTTGAGCTTAAACTTTTGAATTTTGTTTGTATCCAATTTTACATGAGTGAAGATTCTAAAACAATTTGTTTCATTGTAGGTGATTATTTGTGCTATCACAAATTTTAGAGTGTAATTTTTTTTTTTTTCATATATTGCATTCACATTAGCATTAAGTAATTAATTATAAAGGAGGTATAATGGATTAATGTGATGCTTGTGCAGGGATCCCTATCATGTTGCGGGCTCAAACCAGTCATCCTTTGGATCCTTTATCTGCTGCTGAAATCTCAGTGGCTGTGGCAACAGTCCGAGCCGCTGGTGCCACCCCTGAGGTTGTTAACTATGCTCTAGTTTCCCTTGTACAATTATGATTGTGTAATAATTCTTGGTGGATAAAAAGTAGTTATTGCTTTTGCAATAGTAACTTATACTTTTCTACATTTCAGGTCAGAGATAGCATGCGATTCATCGAGGTGGTTCTGTTAGAACCAGATAAACATGTAGTTGCTTTAGCAGATGCTTATTTCTTCCCCCCTTTCCAACCATCATTGTTGCCAAGAACCAAAGGGGGGCCAGTAATTCCAAGTAAGCTCCCTCCCAGGCGAGCTAGACTTGTTGTTTACAATAAAAGATCAAATGAGACAAGTGTATGGATTGTTGAGCTAACTGAAGTACATGCGGCAACTCGAGGAGGTCATCACAGAGGAAAAGTCATTTCATCACAAGTTGTTCCTGATGTTCAGCCTCCTATGGTATATCCTTAATCATGCCTTTGATTTGTTTGATCCTTTTGCTCATATTCAATTTAGCTTTGGATGCAAGGGTGGAGCCACTTTAGGGCTAGAGGTCCCTGTCCCACATCATTACTTTTTTTAAATATTATTTATGCGCAAATATACTTAATTGTCTCCATCCTATTACTTCCGCATAGACTCATTTCTAAGCGGCTACGTTTGAAAAAGTTTGCATAACTTTGTAGGTCATTTTGTAAGTTTTACATTAAAAAAAAAAACTACGAGATCATTAGGTTTCTTTGATAATATGAGTTGCGATTGGTCTATAATTGCATGTTTAGTATTTTTTATTGAGTTAGGGTTTTTTGACAATCCTCAATGGGTTTTTTTGATAACTCTCATTGGTTTTTTGATGACTCTCATAGGGTTTTTTGATAACTCATACTGATGATTTTTTTCCTTGTTTGAATTGTTTTCTCACTTCCATAGATTTTTTTTTTTTTTGATAATATGAGTTGTGATTGATATTGATTTGCTTATTAATGTTTTTTTCATTTGAACGTGCAATTGTTGGCTGTTGGCCTATGATTAGTCTTTTTGATGTTGACATCTATATAAATACAAATGTATTATCTTATTTTTGCCGAGTAGAAAAAAATAATATAAGCTTGAGTTAAAGTGCCTACTCAAGACTGAATTTTTGGCTCCACTCCTCATGCGACATTAAAATAACAAACTAAATTTCATGAAAATTAGTTATATGAAGCCTTCTGACTTAGATTCTATCTTTTCGTTTAAGCTGATTCTACTATGAAGTTTGTGAACACTTTGTGACATTAATATTGTAATTTATAGTAGTGGACTCAATCATTTAGAGCAGTATAAGCCTCTTTTCATTGGGTGTTAATCTTATTGGAGTCCTAGTGGTCAGGTGAACAGCACGGCAGAGCAATATGTATAGCCATGTATATATTTCTCTATACATAAGCATGCATTCAACTCAACTCCACAAAGGTATGCCACTATTATTTTTGGTCGGCTTGAGTGTTGTCTGCAATTCCAGATTGTAATGATCATTCTCTTCATTAAATATCAATCCTAAGTTCCAAACCCAACACAACCTGCGAAGGTGTGTCACCTAACCCATTGCTGAAATGAGATGAAAGAACGAAAATGGTGGGAATTAGGAGGAAGAAATTAAATAATCTTATATCTGAGTTTTCTCCGATCCTGTCGAGTTTTAACTTTCCTCTCCTTGCAGCTTATGTTGACTGGAATAGGTAGTTTTCTGGTTTTGGGCTGCTTGACTTTTAGTCATATGCATAGCTTTTGTCAATCTGTAAACTTTTGTATGGTTCACATTCTTATTTTGCTATTTGCAGGATGCCGTGGAATATGCTGAATGTGAAGCTGTCGTGAAAGACTATCCCCCATTTAGGGAGGCAATGAAGAAAAGAGGCATCGAGGATATGGATCTTGTGATGGTTGATCCTTGGTTTGTCAATATATACTGAATTCCTTTTGGAAGTGTTTTCTATGGACAAATTGATATTATGTTTTTGCCTGCTAATTGGGTCTGCATGCATTTCCTGTACAGGTGTGTTGGTTATCACAGTGATGCTGATGCTCCTAGCCGCAGACTTGCCAAACCACTTATATTCTGCAGAACAGAGAGTGATTGCCCGATGGAAAATGGTTATGCACGTCCGGTCGAAGGCATTTTTGTACTTGTCGATATGCAAAATATGGTGGTTGTTGAATTTGAGGACCGTAAACTTGTTCCTTGCCTCCAGCCGATCCATTGAGGAACTACACTCCTGGTGAAACAAGAGGTGGGGTGGATCGCAGTGATGTGAAGCCCCTTCAAATTGTTCAGCCTGATGGTCCAAGCTTTCGCGTTAGAGGGAACTATGTGGAGTGGCAGAAGGTATTTCTTGTTTAGTCAAACTTGCCTTTTTGAAATTCTCATCACATTCATAGCTGCATATTGAAAGTGATTGGTGTTCTAATTCTGGTCGGCAGTGGAACTTTCGAGTTGGTTTCACACCTAGGAGGGTTTGGTTATACACTCTGTTGCATATGTTGATGGTTGCCGAGGACGACGACCAATAGCCCAT